CCATCCCTGGTGTGTTTCTGTCCTGCCATCCCTGGTGTGTTGGTGTCCTGGCAGGTGCCAGGGGAGGCTGCCAGGGCCGTTCTGCCCAGCCTGGCCCTGGGAACTCCCTGCTCCTGCCCGGGGCTGCTGGCCATGCATCGCTGGTGCTGCGGCGTTGGCACAGGGCTGCACACACGCTCTGCCCCTGCCTTGGGCCTTGCTGGTGCCAGATCCCTGCCTGGGGCCTGAGGGGAGTGTGGCCAGGACGGGTGTGCCCGTGTGGGGGCCCAGGCGCTGACGGGGTGCCCAGATGGGGTGGGTGCTGTCCCCACGGCGCCGGGAGGACGAGCGGCCTGGCCTGCTTAGCATTCCGGTCAGTCCGCTGGAAATTTGTCATTCAGGCCCGCACACCGGGCCCGTTAACACTCTGCCTGACCCACATAGGGCTGTCAAGGCCCCCGGGGTGGGCGGTGAAGCGCTCTCGTGCTGTCCTGGGTGTGCTCCGCGTCTCGCCGAGGTGCTGCTGCTGCGCCCCGGTAGGACGGGCTGGGCCGGGGCAGCTCCTGCCTGCCAGGAGCAGGGACTGCCCAGGGGCACGGGGCAGGCAGGGAGCTGCAGGACCTGTGTGCAGCTGACCTGCTCTGCTGTGCTCTGGGGATGGGGACAGGCTGTTCCTGGTCTGCCTTTCCGTGGGACTGGCACTACCTGTCACATACTCGGGGTCATTGTGAGCTGTGTGTGTCTACTCTGATCTAAATGCTCTTTCATCCTTCAGCTTTCTCAGCAAACACCAGAGCACTCTGGCTTGCTCTGTCTAGACTTTGTTTAGAAGTTACTAATATTGCAGTGAAAATCTCTAATTAAAACATCGCTACACTAAATTTCAACTTGTCACAACATTGTCATTAGTTCCTTCAAATGGTTTACTCTATGTGTACCAGATCCTGACATGGTAAAACTGCCAATTAATTTTTATCTTATTTTCTTCCAGTAAAAAATGGCATTTCGGAAGGCAGTGAAAGGAACTGCTCTCATTGGAGGAGGTGCCATAGCAACAGTTTTTGGCCTCTCTCATTTTTCTCAGTATAGAAACAAACACGTAAGTATTAATTATGATTTTTGATAAAATAGGAAACTTAAAATCTGTCACAGCATATGTCAGGCTTGTACAAATAGTTTTAAAAAATGACCTTTGGCTGCCACTGGGGGCTTTACTTAGTTGCAGGAGGAGTGGAAAGACCTGACTAAAGTAAAAATGCTGCCTGCAGAGTGTTTTCAAGCTGAGGAGCTGGGAGTGAAAGCACCAGCACTACCTCTGAGCAGCCCATCCTCAGCACAGCGCTGGTGCCAGCTCCTGGTGGCTTCCTGGGGCTGGGGACAGGAGCTGTGCCAGGACAGGCGTGGGGCAGCTCCTGGTGGGTTCCTGGGGCTGGGGACAGGAGCTGTGCCAGGACAGGCGTGGGGCAGCTCCTGTGGCCTCTGGTGGGCACAGCCCAGCCCCTAGCCGGATCCCTGCAGGGCTGTGCCCATGGACAGAGTCAGTGCCCCAGCAGGGCAGGGTGGTGCTGGAGCCCCGTCACAGTGCAGCAGCACATCCCATGTCAGTCTGTGTGCTGCATCTTGCTGCTGGAGAAAGCACATTTCCCTGGGTGTCTGCTCCTCCCAGCAGGGCTGCAGTGGCTGTGCTCTTGAGCTCCCTAATTGGTCATTGCACCATGCACTTGTTTGGGGTGGTAAATTCCTACGAGACTCCCAGTCCAACCATTCCCCCAGCTCTGCCAAGGCCACCATGATCCATGTCCCCAGGTGCCACATCCACAACGGTCCTTAAATCCCTGTGGGAAGGAGGAGGAGGAGCAGCTGGGAATGAGATGAGTCATTTCTGGGGAGCCAAGCTGGGAAGTAGATAAGGCAGGATTCTTATGGCTTCAGATACTGTTGCAGAAAATAAACCCCAGCATTTCGAGTCAGCTCCCCATCGGGCTGCCTGCCTTGCTCCAAGCTGGTAATGTTCTCTCTAGAGTCTTTATCTCAGGGTTTTACAGCCTGGCTTCATTACTGTCCGAAATGGCAGCTGCAGCTTTTAGGACTGCTAAATAAGAGAAGCTAGAAGAGAAAAGTCACCTGGCGTGCTCACCTGTTGCATTTTGTCTGCAGTACTCCAGAATTCAGGGAATTCCTCTTTTCTGGGAATGGATGGCCACTATGAGCTTCCAGAAACAGATTAAACCCCATGTTTTACAGAGAGTGATCATGGTGTCAAAATCACAGAACCACTTTTGCTTTTATCCCAACTAATTTTTCTGTGCACACACATCTGCGGACATTTTGGGTCACATTTATGCAACTGGAATTGAGTTATTGAGTCCCATCACAGTAGGGATTGGAAGGAGCCTTAAAGCTGATTCCAGCCCTGCCCCTGGATCCCTGGCAGTGCCCAAGGCCAGGTTGGACAGGGTTTGGGGCACATGGGACAGTGGGGGTGTCCCTACCATGGCAGGGGTGGCACTGGATGCTTTAATGTCCCTTCTCACCCAAACCATTCTGGGATTCTGTGGTTTGGCCTCAAACAAAGACACCTGCAGAGCCCAGGTGGCACAGTGAGCCCTGCTGGCTGTTTCACCAGCACTCCCAGCACTGATGGGGACACAGAGCTGGCAGTACCAGATCCTCCAGCTCCTGGCTGCATTGCTGCATTCTGGTTTGGTATTTTGGTCTGTATTTCATGCACCAGCCTCAGCAGGCTGGTGTGAGACAGGGTGTTCTGGGGTATGCCAGACCTGGAGACCACTTTGGCTTTTCCTTCTCCTCTCCCCTCAGGACCACTAAGGGGAAAGGCAGTGCTTTGGTTTGGAGTTGTAGGATTCTGCTGTCCTTTCCCAGTCCTGCTCTTCCTGGTGTGTGAGTGCGTTGTTGGTCAGTAGAAATTGCTCAGCAAGGTGAATCCAATAGTGTGATAATATGATAATGTATCAGAGCCTGCTTTGGGGAGTTCTGATTACTGTATTTTTTTTGTTTAAATGAGTAAGGATGATGAATTTGACTCTGCAAACCTACCTGGAGATTTACAGTAGCAAATTAACAAGAGCATTGGATTATGGATTACTAGATCACTTTATAACTTGATGATTAAATTCAAACTGCCAAACTAAATTCCTCTCAGTAAGAGTGTAATCAAAACCATTCAGGGAACTCTTGCCTGAGAAATTGTAGATATAAACAGCAATTGCTTATTTCAGTAAACACACTTGTTCACTGCCAAACTAATCACGTTACTGCAGATGGAATCCCTGTGTGCAGCTTTTCTTCACTCCCCCATTTAATTGACAGCAAGATGCATCATATCTATATCAATTCCTGGTACTAATCACTCTGCTTATATTCCAGGGCTAATCTCCACACTCTGGCTATAGCAGGGGCTGGATGCTGGGGACTCTGCTCTGGGCTCTGCTAGGAGCCATTTGTTGTAAATAATGGGTTTAAAAACAAACCTAGACATGGAGTCAAACCCACCTGATGCCAGTATTTCTTGAACTCCAAATTTCTCTTTTCTGGTGTTCTGTTATTTTCCTGAAGTTAAGTAGTAGGCCTGGAAATTTCTCAGGAAATGTAGTGCAAAGTAAATTTGGATGTGGGGATTTTCCTTCTCTAGAGCTGGTGGAAGCTGAAGTTGCTGAGCTTGATCAGCCAAAACATGTGTTGGGTAAGATAGGGTGTTTTTAGTGTTCCAAATTTCCTGCTTGCCACTGCTGTCTGGCAGTGCCAGGGTGGCCTTTAAGGTCCCTTCCAACCCAAACCCTTCTGGGAGATTCTATTACATGTTTTAATTGTACTTTGTAGTTTTATAGCAGTGCTAGAGCCGCCAGGGCCAGCGAGAGAGCAGGGCAGGAGGCAGCAGGACATGGGGACAGGCAGAATTCCATGGCCAGAAGAATGAGGTGGCAGCTGGGTTCCTTTGAAGCTCCCAGACTTTATCCCTGCTCCGGTGATCTGTGGGCTCTTCAGGACTCACCTCTGCTCCCAGCCCCCGAGTGCCTGGCAGCTGCAGGCTGTGTTTGGGGCTGCTCTGCCTGTGGGCACCGGGTAATGGGCAGAGCTTGCTGTGTTTGCAGCTGGGGCTGGGCTGGCACAGCTGGCACAGCTGGCACAGCTGGGGGAGCGCTCCTGCAGCTCCCAGTGCCCCACGTGGGCTGGGACACCATGCTTGGGCAAAACTGGGATTTGTTATAAACCTTGTGTTTTCTTTCTTGACCCCAGTCCCTCTCCAGCTCTCCTGGAACCCCTTCAGACCCTGCCAGGGGCTCTGAGCTCTGCCTGGATCCTTCCCTTCTCCAGGGGAACATTCCCGGGGCTCTGAGCTCTGCCTGGATCCTTCCCTTCTCCAGGG